AAAAWTKKSCTCTATCCCCCTTTTTCCTACCAAAACTTTCCCGATTCCCCCTCATTTTCACCTGCTCCCTCCCCTCTGCCATACATAATGAACGCAGCCTTAATGGGTTAGTTGCATCAAGGCATTATAAATTATGGGTTGGGTATTGTTTTGTGATGCAAAATTTTAAGATTATTTTTAATATTTATCTTAAAAATACAAATTTTTAAAGTCAGTTGTCTTGTTTTGGTTTACTTTTGTATACTACTGAACTCAATCTAAAAACTTTATTTTTTCAAATAATACTAATGCTGCTACAGCGACTAATAATAATGATAACGATGACGATGACGATGAAAACTTTATTTTTTCAAATAATACTAATGCTGCTACAGCGACTAATAATAATGATAACGATGACGATGACGATGACAATCAGTCTAATCACATGTGAAGGTGGCTGAGATTATCGAATCGAATCGTCGAGAGGCATAACCTGTGTACACCCGCTTCCAAGCCCTCCCCATTTTTCCCCGTAAGGGGGAGGAGTGGGAAGCGGCTGTAGACAGGTTACGAGAGGCAGTGAGATGACAGCGATGAAACTATGTTTTGAGGAACCTATCAAAGCATTGAGCTCCCGTCAAATATCAAGCCATTTTTCTCTAATCATGTCCTCTAAAAAACTTATGTCCAATGTCTGTGAGAGAAAGCGGGTTTGTACATTTTGAAAACTTACGTCAGGGACAAAGCTGTTTGTTTACGCTCGCCCTGTCTCTCATCTGTATTTTCTCTTCTGAGGCAACATCTTATAAGAATCTAAAAGATGAAATATAATTTCTTTATATTGCAAGAATTGCTGAAGAAAAAAAGAAAATTTAAATACGTTTCTTTCAGCTGACTCACAAATAGCGGGCACCTCTCGAAATTTCGAAACGGAATGGCGCATGCGCAACTTGTACTCAATTCAGACGAACTCCATTCGATCGGATTATCGTATTTTTTTWAAAATATTCGATCATTCTCCTTAACTATTTGTAATACTTTGTTGTTTATAATCCAGAAATTCATTTGTTAAGCCTTTTTTAGTTGTTTCGCCATTGCGTGCTGATAGGCGGAATTTGAATATTAATGACAAAAAAAAACTTTCAGTTTATATTATAACGAACTGGTTGAACGAGCTTAACATTAAAATTTAAATACCACAGACCACAAACATCCATAAAGAACTGCAACGAGACAATGACTTAAGAAACCTTTCTCGAAAAGCTAGTTTTTTTTTGTGAGCACGTTCACAGCCGGTAAGTAAGTCGACTAAGGTCCAATTCAGAAGTTGAACGTTTGCAGTGTCGAATCTGTTTTCCTTTGAGACCAGTGGCTAAGTAAACGTATAGAGCTATAATACTACAAAAGACGAGATAACTAGCTAAAAACTAGTGTGAACTGCGTCGGTGTTTCTAATGAAACAGTAATGATAAAAAGGTAAATTATACACCGTGAAAAGATAAAAAAACGACGACTGCTCAGCGCCAGGCATACTTCGACTAGATCAAAGCAAAACAGCTCTAGACCTCAGAGGCAATTAGATTCAACACGGGAAACGTTCGACGTCTGAACTGGGCCAATTTATATCTTAAATCAGATCTGAATTCGGGAGTAAAGAGTTCGCAAGTTAATGGAGTTTTGCAATGTTTCCAAACATGATCTCTATAGTTTTACTGAAGGATTTTCGATCAATATTATGTATAGAGACAATAAAATGTCTGAAACTCATAAGCCCTAGAAGTTTCTGACGTCGTTTGAACTCAAAGACCATTTTAAAAGGTCTGACGAGTGTAATTTGTATTTTAATGATTTCTCTGAATATTCAGGAGAGTAGAAACCTAGATAAACAAAAAAAAAACAAAAACAAAAACAAAACAAAAAAAAGAAATACGAAAATTACGGAACTTCATTCGGACATAACAATCGATATCAGATATCTTAAATTCTGCTGACATCATTCGACAAGAACATAACAAAATTATACGCAGTTGGTCAGAACTAAGAGCCATACAACAATAGAATTTAATATATGCATATGATTTGCGGGGTATTCTATAGTTGAATATATATTTTATAGCTATATATTTTTTTGTTTTCTGTGGGAAAACCTGTAATGCAGAGTTTGTATTGGTACTGATTGCTGCAGACATGAATTACACTAACGTGCATCATCTTCGACTGGTTTACAACACGGAATAATAAATTACTCCAAAGGTCGTCTAACGCTATTCTAGCGCAACCAGGCCTATCAATTTAAGAACAAAACACTATTCGTCCAGACAATAATTTCCCTCCACAGGAAACTCAAATGGCCTATGTATGTATATTATCAAATCATCTACTTAAAGGTACTTTATGTGCACCGTTTAGTATAGGAAATCGCACGATCTCGAGTACAATTCAGAATTTATAGGTACGAGTGATGTTTTGACAGTTTTCAAAATTGGACGAGGCATTAGTTGAGTCCAATTTGAGAACTTTCAAAACATCACGAGTATCTATAAATTCCGAATTGTACGAGAAGATTGTGCGATTTTTACAGGAGTTACATTCAAACAGATATCATTCATGGTCTCTTAAGTCAAAATAAATTGCCAGTCATCTAATCTGCTTATAAGGTAAGGTTTAGGTCTTAAGCTTTATAGTTGCAATTGCAAACAGTAAGAACAGTGGCCCAGCTCCTCCACTTTTAGGTATACTTCACAATTTGTAACTACAGTAAAGTAGTTAGCTATCCATAAAACAAAAGCAACAACGTTCATCAAAGTGAATGACCTATGAAGGGTTTATTTTGGGTTTATCGAATGAAAACAGTACACTGTTGACTAGAGGGAACGAGAATGTTTCCAGATGGATTCGAGAATGTTGTGATCAGGAACCCCCACTTTTTCCAAACCGCTCTCTTTTTTCCCAGTAAGACTCTTGTATTTATATAGACCCTATTGTCAACCAGCTCAGTCTGATCTGTTTTGATGATTTTTAGGGTTGGTGTGCCTTGGAAACACTGTTGTATTACTTTAGGTAGTACTTGGCTGCCACGATAATAAGTATCGTAAAAGATAAACCAAGATAACTAAGATAATCTCTTCTCGAGAAAATACAAGAGTTTCTTTTTTGCAAGAGCTGTCTTTTGATTTGCTTACATCTCCAAAATGATATATTGTCCGTCAAGTGATCTGTTTTGACGACTTGTAAGGTTGGCAAAATGTCTTCAAAACAATTTGCATTTCAAGCAGTTTTAAATAAGAAAATAATAATACTGAAAAGAAGACACACTTTTCTCAAGAAAATGAGAGCGGTTTTTTTTGCAAGAGTTTTCATGAACTGTTCTAAATAATTTTCAATGGACTATGTCTGTTTTTATGATTTTTAGAGTTTGCGTGTCAGTGTCATGTTAAACAGTTCGTGACTGTGTTTCAGTCTTATTATCAAACAAATATCATGGGGTCTCAGCCGTTATGTAAATTATATAAAACCAATAAAGGACAGCTTTTTCCCTCTGGGGGGAGGGGTGGGGCAGGAATGGCTCTAAAACTGCTCTAAAGTAAGATTATAAATTTTGAAACAGCGGGATCTTCCGATAAAATTAATTAATCTTGTTGCATTCCCCTCTACTTGCTTAGATTCCTATATAAGATATTGCATAATATTCGAGTGAACATTCATGTATTTGAATAACTATCTTCCATTTTTAAGGCTTTTATGGTTGCGAGGTTAATTTGGAATTACCATAGCAACCATAGGATGGCAGAAGTGGTTACTATGGTAATGATATATTAACATCAACAGTAGCCAAATAAACTTTGAAAATTCTTATTTTCCATTTCATTTGTGAAATGCCCTCGAGTATCATCCCGCTGAAGTATTTCTCTATTACCCAATAGAGGCTTTGCATCATCACGTGATGGTAGCCATGAAAGGAGGCACAACAATAGAGTCTTTTCTTCCTAAAAAAACTGAATTCTTTGTCGCGTTAATCAGATTAGACCAGATTCCATTGTTCCTGCCTCTTTGTCATGGCTGCTATCACGTGATGGTGCAAAGCCTCTAGACAAATYTTGAACACTATTTACACCTTCCTCCCCCTCCCCACCACCAGCTTCCTATCAAGATTACCCACCTAATGATAAAATATCATTAATATGTGATAACTTGAATGATGCTTTAGCTTTAAATAGACTATAATTTAGTGCTGCACTTTATCTTTTTAGTTTTCTAGTTGGACAAGAACAATGGAAGGAAAACTCGATGGAGGTCTGAGTTGGGTCGTCGCTTTTGCAGCTTTTTTCCAGCAATTCGTGATGATGGGTAGTAATTACGTTTTTGGAGCGTTCTTCATTGCACTGTTGGATGAGTTTAAGGAGAGCAAAGCAATAACTGGTAAGATACTTCGCCGGCATAAAACTTAGAAAGTGATGTTACTTCAGGAGTGTCACAAGTTGTTAACTTTTATAAATATACAAACAGACGAAAATCTTTCGCACAAATATAGAAAGAAAATTACTCTTTACTAATATACAGACGACAATCTTGGCGGCACGAATATTAAGAATAGAGTGTGTGTAATAGTGGAGCGAATGCTGAAAATTGAAATAATTATCGACGCATTCGAGCACTACTTATTGTACGAGTATATCATGAAATGATTTTTACCACTGGTCGAAACGTCTATCAACAATTATATAGAAAGAATGAAAGCTGATCGTAAATTAATAGTTGCAATAATCATAATCAGCTAACAAGTAAATAAAGAGAAGAAAGGCATCATTTTACATTAACCATTTAAAAAAACCGCAAATTATATTGTAATCAATTATGCACGAAAAAACCTGTTAAAAATAACAAAAAAGGATTTAGGAAACAGGTAGATTTAGTGTTTCTTTTTATCACTTTTATGCATCACAATTAAGATGTTTTTTTTTTTTTTTTTTTTGCTACAAAACGTTTTACTGTCGTAGCGAGATTTCTTTTCGCAACGCCTGCTGTTAATATGTTCATTTTTTGGATATGATCCATTACCTATACTTGCCCCAACGATTGTCTGCATAACAGTCCCCTTCACAGTTCCCTGCGCCATCTTGAAAGGTAGCTGTGTCTTTATGCATAGAGACATGTGAATAATTGTCCAAGGTGTTAAAAAAAGTCTCTATCATTGCCTGCTCACCGTTCGCCTCGCTTCGATGCAAAGGCACAGCTACCTTTTAATATGGCGCAGGGAAATGTGAAAGGGACTATTGCCTGCTTGTCTGCTTGCATCGTCGCCTGCCTGCTTGCATCGTCGCCTGCCTGCTTGCATCCTCGCCTACCTGCTTACTTCTGTTTTATACCTCGTGACTAATTACCTCTTTACACTTGCCTTCCTATTCTTCTAGGATTGGTCGGTTCATTGGCATTTGGCCTATCGTTCGTATTGGGACCAATAACAACGATCATATGCCATAAGCTTGGAAACCGTGTTGCCTTATTTATAGGCAGTGTCTTCTTCAGTCTTGGGCTTCTCTTAACATCTTTTGTAGATGACCTGAGCCGGATGTTTCTGACATATTCCGTAATGGTTGGATTTGGTGGAAGTCTGTGCTATTACACATCAATATTGATATTGAATGAATACTTTTGCAAGCGTCTTGTTACTGCGAATGGTTTAACTTTGTCTGGATCTGGCTTGGGTACACTGGCTCTTTCAGCAGCAGTGGAGCATTTTTTAGAGTTACATGGATGGAGAATTGCTTTCCGAATTCTGTGTGTCTTTTCGCTTATTCAGTTTGTATCCTGTGGAATTCAGTGTGTAATTTCAGCACCCATAAAAACAGATTCTGCGCTGAAAGACAAGGTGTCCAAGAATAAATTTATTGATACTTCGTTGTTCAAGAACAAAGCTTACATTGTTTGGGTGTTTGTCATTTCTATGGTGCTGTTTGGGTTTTATATTCCTTATGTTCACCTGGTAAGGACAATATTGTTTTCTTTTCCTCCATTTGCTTCTCCAACTCTCTCAATCCTTCTTCCTAGCTCCTTCTCCTTTTCATTTTCCTTCGCCTTCTTCTTCGCCTTCTCCTTTGCCATCTCCTGCGCCTTCTTCTCCACCTTCACATTCTCCTTCTTCAACTTCTTCTCCTTCTATAACTTCTTCTCCTTCTTCAACTTCTTCTCCTTCAACTTCTTCTCCTTCGGCTTCAACTTCTACTCCTTCTTCAACTTCTTCTCCTTCTTCAACTTCTTCTCCTTCTTCAACTTCTTCTCCTTCTTCAACTTCTTCTCCTTCTTCAACTTCTTTTCTTTCTCTTTTTTCTGCAAGGAGAAGGGTACATCCGATTTTTCATTGACATATGTCAATCATCCATGCCCTTTTTGTTTTCCCGTCATCTGATGTTCTAATGTTATGGTTTAATTTATGATTGACAGATCCGTCATTGTCAAGATCTAAACATTCCCAGGAGTAAAGCCGCCATACTTGTTGGTTACTTGGCTATTTCATCAACCATTGGCAAGATTATCACGGGTAGAATTGCAGACCACCCACGTGTTGATCGACTCATTTTGTTTCAATTCTTCTTATTAGTATGTAGTGTTTTAACAACACTTTTTCCTATCATGACATCGTTAGAGACTGTAACRATATACTGCTGGTTATTCGGCTTCCAGGAAGGTGGTTTTGTAGTATTGATTGCAATTATCACTGGAGACATTGTTGGTAAAGAAAAAATGGCGTCTGCTTTTGGAGTATTGTATGGCTTCAGCTGTATACCTATGATGATTGGCCCTCCTGTAGCGGGTAAGTTAACAAAACAGTACACAGTATTTTGCTTTCTCGTCGGTCGTACCAGCCAATCAGATCCCAGTTATTTTCTTGGCTCTGAACTTTCAATCAATAGACCCCTTGCATGTGACTTCAAAGCAACTCAATTTGGAGGATATAACGATGGGTTTCCAATTCTCAGGAAATTGAAATTCTTTTGTTTTTACCTCCAAATTGTGCTGCTTTGACGTCACATTCAAGGGGTCTATAAGGGAACCTCGAAATATTTTCTGCATGATACTAATTGGATGGTTTTTCTGTCCAATCCAACTAACTTTTCTTGATAAGTGGTGTGCAACCGCGCGGCAACATTGTACTGCAGGCTCAATACTCATTTACTTTCGTTGCAATAAATCTTTATTTTTTCCATAGGAATGATGTATGGCATATCCAACTCATACAACCCAGCTTTCTTCATGTCCGCTGCCTTAACAGCTTTAAGCGTTTGCATTTCGTTCTTGATCCCAGTCCTACTCCCTCAAGAGATCATCGAGAAATCGAGCATGCGCAATACTGCCGAAGAAATTCAAATGCCTTCGACCGGCAGCAGTACTAACAACAACTCGAAAAATAGTTCTGTAGATCAAGAAGCAGGAATAAAACTAATTGAAACAAAAACAAAAAATGACGGGGTTTTTATGGAAAGATCTGGAGCAACACGAACGTTACGGAAACGAAACAAAAATGAAGGGACAACTAACAGACTAAGTCTGGACTTTCAGCTTTACTTCTCGATGGAACATCTTGTAAGTCAGAGAGACAGCTTGATAAGCAGCTTCTATTCAAGAGAAAATCTTAACCATCCAGCTCCAGTTCCAGAAGTCAGAGAAACAGATGTTTAACGCACATGATTAGTTTCGTAATAATTCCAGATCCGGTATAAACTTCCAGATTCTTGATTTTATGGGGGCAGGGTCAAGTTTTTCTTGGCGAGAGAAGCAAGTTTATTAGGCGTACCCAAGTGTCTGTCTTGCTTTTCGAGTGCTCCACAGATCCCAGGGTGTTTATATCACAGCACAGAGGCATAAGCAGTCGATTTATATTTTTATATATTTTATAAATGATTTTTAAATGAATTTATGCGAGCGTGTCTCTGTTCTCTGATATAAATATGGTAGCCAGCCAATCAGCGTG